CGCAGTACATTTGTCCTTTAGTCAGTCAGCAAACGGATATCTCGCCTACGCCATAAGTGACGCAGGTTGGCCGAAGCCAATCGAGCCTTCTGTATCCGTGCTGAGATTTCGTCAGTCACCAGGCCATCAGCACTGATGAGACTCCCAAGATAAGTGAAGCGGTCTACACGTTCGACCACTTCACTCCCTATCACTAGTTTAGGTGCCGATAAAACGCAATCTTGAAGCAACGTTGTGCATTTCGTGGGGGAAAACCACATCCCGAACATGCTTGCATTGTTGCTTGGGGTGGTCAGAGGACACTGTATTTTGTCAGCGTCTTCACCAAGTAGGACAATGTCATCGGCATATTCTAAGTCAAATGTGTGTTCTAATTAGTTCAATATAGAGAAAACAAGTACACCTTTTCACCTTATTTAGATCAGGATCCAAAATGTGATAAAAACTAGTTGTCATTCGTTAAATAAAGTAAAAAACCAAGTTCATTTCGTTCAATTTTTCAATGGTTATTATCTCAACTCATCTCAACTCATCTAATCTGATTTAATTTAATCTGTAGTATAAAAATTTTGTCCTTAAAAATAATAATCATATCATGATTAATTAAAAAGATTAAATATTTTATTGAATATGTAATTGTTAATCTGTATAACATGTTCAGTTGTTTCCGTTTTTCATGAACATGATGAGAATTTTGTTTGAATAAAAAAAGTAGAAAAAGTTCTCTTCTCACTTAGTTTGTCTGTTATGAGTGTAATTTAACTTTGACAGATTGAAACAAATAATAATAGTAGCAAAACTAGTGGATACACAAGTGTGGTGACTGACGAAATCTCAACACGGATACACAAGGCTCGATTGGATTTGGCCAACATGCGTCACTTATGGCACAGGCGAGATATACGCTTGTTAACGAAAAGACGGGTGTACTGAGCAGCAGTTCACTCTGTCCTACTATACGGATGCGAAACATGGCCGTTAAGAGGTAGGTTCGTAGGTTACTAGTATTCGATAACAGGTGTATCCGAAGCATTGCTCGTGTATCATGGGACAACCGTATAAGCAATGCTGTTGTTAGAAAACGAGTTCTAGGGAAGGATGACAAATCAATAGACGAAGCATTGAAACTTCATCAGTTGAGGTGGTTAGGACATGTTTAACGTATGCCTAACCACCGACTGCCTCGACGAGCTATGTTTTGTGGTGTAAGAGTAGGTTGGAAGAACGTTAGGGGTGGCCAGACCAAAACATGGCACAAATCCATGAAGTCACGGACAAGTGTGATGAGTCATGTTGGTAGATGTAGGCTACCTGGTTGGGATCCGCCAGACGATAGTCACCAATGGTTAGAGACCTTGAACGGCATGGCTCAGAATCGTTTGCAATGGCGCAGGTGCATCCACTCTTTGTGTTCTATGAAATTCTAAGCTTCTGCATTCCTCATAATCTCTACCTTTCTCCTTCTAAATGTATCTCACTGAATAATATCATATCTTCCCTCCCTTATCTTCTCCATAACTGCTAATAATTCTACTATCGCTATCACTGTTGGATTTGAACTGACAGTTTCGTCTCTATGCTGACGTGGTATGATAACCTGAACTGATGTACTTATGTACGAAGTTCTGCATTGTTTCTGTCTGTCTGGATACACACTGCAGATGAGTCCCAGGCTAGGGGACAAAATGGCTGTCGTCCAGTGATTTCAGGTTTCTTTAAATGATGAACTTACCCTGATTAATTTATTACAGTAATAAATAAAAGTAATAGTAATATTTATTTTAACAAAACACTTCATGTGATTATTAATTTAAAGATATGACCAATTCGATATAGAAACCAAAAAGAAAGACAACATGTTTCATGCAGGAAAGAAATAGGATGGATAGATAAATGGAGAAGATTTGTAGCTCAGATGGATGATTGTGATGGTGGTGGTGTTACGTCTTCTCTGAACTGGATGTTGTTTGGTTATGGAGCTTTCATCATTGTTCTTCTTTTGAACAGCAACAACATCATCAGCACATACTTCAGATAGGAGAAGAAGTGAAGCATTTGAATTTCTCCACGTTTGACCTGTAGCTTATTGTGATAATCTCGATCTTGATTGGTTGCTATTGACAGCAGCCGGCACCCAGCTCAGAGAATCAAACACCACCACCACCACCGCAATATTCAATTCTAAGACTATTCTAACAAATTACTGGATTGATGAAAGTTAGACATTAACACTGCTAGACCGAATGTCCTTGGTTCGAATCCTACGAGTTGCAGGAGTCGTGGATGCACACTACTGACGAATCCCATACCAGAACGGAGCAGCCGTCTCTTTGTGCTTCCACGTTTCTAATGGTGATCTCTAACACTGATCAATTCATCATTTCAAACAAACAAGTCATTATATATAAATAATTTCTTAATTCAAACATTCAATAAAGTATGATTTTCATCGTCTTTTTTTCTCTGTTTTCAATCAAAACAAAAAAGCCCGTTATATATCTATCAAACGACTTGAAAAAATGATTTAAGTGAATAAGAAACTTTAATAAATAAACGTAGATAGACTGTGTGTGAAAATTAGAACAACACATAAAAGCGAACAACACATGGTTGTTTTCGATTAGATCGTCATCAGGCTTTACTCTTCAGTGTACATGAATATTCATACATGAAAATGTTAAACCAATCAAGGCAATTTAGGAGTCAACAATTATCACAATGAAATGAAATAGAGATTACGTCACTCTACATATAAGAGGCAAAAGTACAAGTGGATAATAGGAAGATGACAGGTGTACTGATAGTAGTAAGGAAATTATAAAATATGATAACTAAAGTTTTATCAATAGTAGGTCAAAGGTGGGTTTCAAGTAATCATTACAAAACATTAAAACCATTACGTAATAAGCAAATGTGTAAAAATAAAAATAAATTAAGATAAAAAATATATAATGTCAATCGTTAGTTACGTCATATCCGGGCCACGGAAGAGATAGGGGTGTCACGAATTTCTTCTGAACACATAAATTGAGGGTGAATGTACGAATTCCTATTGCTTCTGCAATGTGTGTAGGAGATGGGATCAAACTCCGTTGGGAAATGATTGAGGTATACGAGATAAATCACCCGAAAAGATCTAGATTTATCTACCCATATGACCACTATCAACCAGGTATGCTAAGATCGAACTGCGTACTATTTTTGACTGACCCTTCTTAAGCTACGCTGGGGGATGTTCACTCATTTGTCGGGTAAGTTGCTTGGTAGTAAGCCCGATATAGCTATCACCACAGGAGCAGCTGAATTCGTAACTGTACATAGGGTAGGCCAACTCCTCTTGTCTTCCTACTATCCACTACTTGTACTTTTGGCCTATTATGCGTGTAGTGACGTAATCTCTATTCCATTTCATTGTGATTATCACTGTAAAAACTGAAGAGTAAAGCCTGATGACGATCTAATCGAAAACAGTAATATTAGTCGCTTATATCTATGTTGTTCAAAATTTCTTTTTTTTGCCATTTATAAATTTTCATAATCATTAAAAGCAATTTTTTTCAAATTTTATGTAAATTATATTATGGATTATGGAAATAATCATTTCAAAATTGGCGGCATTGATCGAGATAGAAAAAAACACCGATTTAAACGCTATTGACAATTGAATATTGTTGCCTATTTAAACAATGTAGACCGATAAAAAAAACAGCTTTTATATAATGGGCATTATTGATTTATAATAGTCAGTTTGAGAGAGATTTTCTAACCATTTGTTGTAACGGTTGCTTCGATAATTCCCGGCTAAATCCTATTGCTTAGTGTATTCTCTCACCACACAATACACTACTGGACAAGTTCCCAAGAATCAAAAAACACGGTTGAACAGGAAAAGATTTATATTCCAAATAACAAGGTTAAATGGAAATAAGAAGCCAAAGGTGATGGCGAAGGCAAAAATAGATACAACGTTACTCTATTTATAGCATTTACATGAGAAGCTTCTGGATAGTAGTAATTCACGTGATCGAATGGATTAGATTTAACCAATCAGCACGCAGCTAACAATACGAGAATCTTCTACCCTGTTCTCCAAGATTCAATCAGGCGCTGATTGGATAGGAAATTAGCCAATCAGCGCGTAGCAACGTGCTCATGCTTTAATTCCATCTATGTCCCACTAACACCATTTAATGGAGACACATTATACATATATATATATACATTAGAAACTTAAATTTCAAAAAGAAATTTAACTTACTACTAATTTTTGTTTATGATATTCACTGCCAGGAACTGGAATAGAGAAAAAGTAATCAAACAAACAAATAATAAATTAGGTTGATTAAATTAGTTTGTAATGCATGATGTTTAGTTATTTTCAATAAGAGTTTTTACACATTTGGATGCTGGCTTAGTGGCTCAGAGGTTAGGCGTTTGCGCACAAGATCGAAGGTCCCAGGTTCGAATCCTGTGAGGTGTAGGAGTCGTGGATGCGCACTGCCACTGATGAGTCCCATACCAGGACGAAACGGCCTTCCAGTGCGTCCAAGTTTTTAATGGTGATATAACGATGGTTGATTGATGATTTCAAAAGATGTTCAGTTAGTCATTCTTGAATATAGAGATATATGTAACACGTCTAGTGTTATGATGTACAGGTGGCATGTGAGATTTGAACGTAATACATACTCGCAACTCCTTAAACCGGCCGTGTCATTCAGAGTCTCTAATCATGTTTCGATCTGGACGCCCACATATTTCTACCAGTTTATCCCTAAACCAGACCACTTCGCTCGTTGAGACAGTCGGTAGTTGTGGTGGTGTTTTGTTCTCTGAGCTGGATATTTTGGTTGTGGAGCTTTCATTGTTCTTCTGAACAACATCATCAGCACAAACTTCAAAACGACGACAGGTTTAAGGTCAACAACAGCAACCAATCAAGACCGAGGTTAGCAGAACAAGCTACCAGTCAAACGTGGAGAAATTCGAATGCTTCACTTCTATCTGAAATTTGTGTTGATGATGCTGTTCTACAGAAGAACAATGAAAGCTCCACAACGAAAACATCCAGCTCAGAGAACCAAACACCACCACCACATACACCTAAGATCGAATACTAATAGCCCACAAAAACACCTATTTTTAGTGGTTATGTTTCGCACACTAACAGTGGTTAGCTCCAGCCTACCATACGGTTATAAAACAGACCACTAACAATAGAGGATATTCGTAGGTCACTAGTATTCTGATCATCCATATTTTCAAAGCATTGCTCATCTATACTAGGACCATCAATCAAGTAAGCAATAATGCAAGAGTTAGGATAAAAAAAAAGGTACAATTCATATCATATTCATAAACAATCCATCATAGTAATCATATATTGAGCGTATACATATATATATTCAATAATTTCATTGAACTCATGATATATATATAAATTTATCGATTCATCATTCACTGATCATATTTATTTTAACCGATCAAACAAACGATAGTCATTATAATAATAATAATAATTAACGATGAATAGATTCACTGAATATGTGATATCTCATTAAAATCTTGTCATTATTATTCTTCACATGACACCTACTCTACTTAATAAACAGTGAAATAATTCAAGATAACCAGAACAATAAGAAAATCTTTATGAGATGAATACACCTATGATTGTTTTTGTTCTGTTTGTTTAACAGAATGAGAGAAACAGAGAGAGACACAGTAAGTAATCAAAAGTTTAAATCTAACAAATTTTCAATACATTTTGATAATAAACGAAATAAAACACTTGTAGGTTCAAGATATTCCCAGACATACAACAGACAGCGAGAGAGACAGTGTGAATAGAACATTTAGCTATAACACAGTCAGCCGGTCAGTTGCAACATAGAACTTCGTACGTATCTACATAAGTACAGGTTGCCATACCACATTAGCACAGAGAGGCAAATATTAATCGAATCCCATAGTGATAAAGATAGTAGAGGTATTAATAGTTAGTAACGAAGAAGACCAGGGTTTGAAGATATTATTATTAAAGAAGTATGATTCAGTGAGATAAGGTTAGAAAGTCAAAACTAGAGGTACTGAAGAATCCAGAAGATTAGGATTTGAGACAGCACAACCAATGAATGCACTTGCGCTATTGCAAACGATTTTGAGTCATGTCAGTCAAGGTCTCTACCCATCGGTGACTATCGTCTCACGGATTCCAACCAGGTAGTCTACATCTACCAACATCACTCAGTACACTTGTCAGTGACTTCATGGATTGCTGCCATGTTTTGGTTTGGTCGCCAGTAGCTTTCTTCCAATCTACTCCTACACTGCAAAACATAGCTCGTCGGGGCAGTCGGTGGTTAGGCATACGTAACACATGTCACAACCACCTCAACTGATGAAGTTTCACCACTTCATCTATTGATCTGCCATCCTTACCTAGTACTCGTTTACTAACGACAGCATTGCTTACTCGGTTGTCCCATGATACACGAGCAATGCTTCGGAGACATCGATGATCGAATACTAGTAACCTACGAACATCTACTCTTAACGGCTATGTTTCACAGCCATATAGGAGAACAGAGCGAACTGCTGCGCAGTACACCTGTCCTTTGGTTAGCAAACGGATATCTTGCCTGCACCATCAATGACGCAGGTTGGCACAAACCAATCGAACCTTCTGTACCGTGCTGAGATTTCGTCAGTCACCAGACCGTCAGCACTGATGAGACTCCCCAGATAAGTGAAATGGTCTACACGCTCGACTACTGCACTACTTATCACTAGTTCAGGTCACGATGCAACCCAATCCTGAAGCAACATTTTGCATTTCGAGGGAGAAAACCGCATCCCAAACATGCTTGCCTGGTTGCTTATGGTAGTCAGAAGACTCTGCATTTTGTCAGCGTCTTCACCAAATAAAATCATGTCGTCGGCGTATTCTAGATCAGTAAGCGACTTTCCTGGTAGAAGGTCAACCCCTGAAAAATCTGACGAGCTTAGTTTTAACTCTAAGAGGATGTCTAAGACAAAGTTAAACAAGAATGGAGAGAGTGGACATCCCTGACGGACACCACTTGATGTAGAGAATTCAGATGACAGTTCGCCATAGGTTAGGGTTAGGGTCAAGAGGTCAAGAGGTTAAGTGTCCACGCACATGAACTAAGGTTCTAGGTTCGAATCCAACCCAGTGGGGAGGCATGGATGTGTACTGTTAATAGGTTTCATGCCATGATAAAACAATTGTTCAGTACTTTCAGATTTCTAATCGATGACTCAAACATGATATTTGTTCATAATTTCAATGACATTTCTAATTTACTTATTGAAATATTATCAACTAACGCACAAACCTACTTGAACAACCATTCTCATGAATTTGTACACTAAGTTGATCATTCAATGATTTAACATGATGATGATGATGAGTGTTAGAAATAAGATTTTGTTGTTGTTGATGATCATGATTTTGAGCATGAATGTTATTCACATGATGATTATTATTAATTGGTTGATGTACTGTTGTTGAAGTTGTAGAAGTACAAGTTCTAACTGTCGATGATAATGGTTGTGATTGATGCTGATGTTGTTGTTGATGATGATTCGATGTGGATAATGACGATGATGATAAAGGATGAAAATGATTTGATTTCAATGAAAGTGAATTCAATGATGATGGAGATGATGAAGTGGAACAAAGACCATTTGTACCATTTGGTATAGTACTGGTCGTCGTAGTGGTAGCAGTAGTAGTAGCAGTAGCAGTAGTAGTACCAGCCTCAGTATTCTCAACAACACCATTATGCGTATGATCATTCACAATGTTGTTGCGTAATAATACACCATGATCATCACCATTGGTAAGAGTTGATGAACATGACATACAATAATATGAACCATCAATGATGGTTGTTCGTTCACCTGAATTAAATAAACGTCTAAAATAAAAATTAAAAAAAAAACCAAAAAGGAAAAAGGGAAAATAAGTTAATAAATTTTTGATTATCAGTCAACTGGGGTCATATCACAAACCATAAAATCTAGAGAATCCTTAAGGTTAAAAGCGAAGAGGAAAACCAAATAACACGCAACACACCGAGTATTGGAAGTAAACATCAAAAGAATGAACAGCAATTGGTTGGAATTGGAAACGAAGGCCCCCAAACAGAGTAGGTTGGAGAATGCTGATCGGTAGTCTATACTCACTCCATTAGAGGTAACAGGAGTAAGTAAGTAAGCTATGACTTGACTCCCGACGGTGGCTGCTACCTTGACGTGATGGTCGGGCTTGACTATCGTCATGATCCAATCGAGCTATACTGGCTTGAGCATATGTTCCTCAAGGTTCTACCATGCCAGCCAGAGAGGTCGATTGGAGAACGATGAGACTAAAAGCAGCTGCTCAAGGTCCGAGGACGAAGTCGTACTGTTCACTGTAGATGGGTGTGACAGCAGTAAGCTGCTTTCCTCGGACAACCAGAATCTGCAGCGATGCTACCTTCTCACAAAGGAAGGAAGGGTTAGAAAACGTCGACCCTAAAAATGTCACACCTCACCCTATCTCACGGATTTCCGTCTCCGGCGGTAAGGCTGCCTACTAAGGGCTTTCAAGAGCAGAGCTAATACTAAAAAATCCTTTCATCAAAAGGCCATGCGTGACCGGCCTCAAGCAGTTGTCCCTTGGGGTCTGCGGTGACGCACCCAGGTCTCTAAGAACGACACTAATCTACCTTTCTTTTCAGGTCCCTCAAGAAACAACCTTCCACGGTGTGGGCAGCCGAGAAATGACAACCGACCTCATACCCGTAACAGCACGAGAGACCAAGTTGGTCTTGGAATATCAAAGTATGACATAAATTATCGAAATTATTATAACAAGAAAAATGAATAGAAATTAGTGTATCAGAGTAAAATAATAGTAATAATAATGGGTGAAAAGTTCAAGGTAAAGAAAATACAACCTGAAAGAATTCTTCTAGTTAAAGCAGTCCTTATTACTGATATGAAAAAAATTATAGAAAGTTACAGTAGCATCGCCACTGGCCTCTATTATGAACCATATCGTATAACGTCTGAAGTCACTGAGTTACACCATCTCTAGGAACCCAATCAGGGAATCGTGAAGGACCAACAAATGATAGCCCTGTACAGTGTATCCTCCATTGACTACCTCTCCACTTTTCCCGACTAGCTGCAGTATTGACAAATAATGCACAATGAAGAATTTGCTGGTACGACATTAATAGTATATGTTCAGGCTACTGAAGTCGGTGTTTCAAAATGGTGACGTCAATCGAATTATTGTCGCTGTGCCCAAACACACGTAGCCGAACGTCTAAATTACTAACATGATGATGCCACTGTATGTCAGTAATCCTTCGGAAACAGTGATCACTGAATACAAAGAGTGTCTTAACAATTTCAATTTGAAGATGCCAGCTCATAGCAGAATTGCTCTCACAGAAACATTGTACAGCCGACCTTCTAGAACCCTCAGAAAACGATAGCCTATATTGGCATAAGTCGTTCTAAATATCAATTGATATTATCACTACTCACACAGATACCCAGATCTGTAAAATTTCATGAATTCTTTTATCGGCTCACTATCAACAATGAGTGTAAGTTCAGAATCGTTTCAGTCATGTGAACGTGCTTTTTTCCATTTACAAGTTGCAAAACAAATGACAACATAGAGTTAACTGGATAGTGTAAAATTCTTAACAATAAGTAAATATTTCCTTAATAATTTCCGTGAATAGTTGTACTCTTTTAAATAAAAAATAGAATTTTATTTGTTATTTCCTCTATTCAACACGTGAAATGTACAACATGTAAAAGATTTAAAAAATAGAACTATAAAAGATTGATAGGTAGGTAAGTAGGTGTATACACATTAATTTTATTTAATATTTTCACGTGTTCTAGTGTAAGACGATTAAAATATCAAACTGAAACAATTCATTTGACAATATAATAATAAAACATGAATAAAATTAAAATCTTCGTTTAGGACATAAATAACTCAGTGTTTTACTGGAGAGAAAGAAATACAACCATTGGTTATTCTTTTGAAATCATAATTTGATCAAATTTAGACCACCGTTAGAAGACTGGACATTAACACCGTTAGATACCGTCTCAGTGGTCCAGAGGTTAGACGGTCGGAAGCAAGACCGAAGGTCCTGGTTTCGAATCCTCCGAGTTTCAGGAGTTGTGAATGCACACTCCTGATGAGTCCCATACTAGGACGAAACAGCGATCCAGTGCTTCCACATTTCTAATGTTGGTCTAACTCTGATCGATTTATGATTTCAAATGTGTAACTTAACAATCTTCACAACCCCATAATACAATTGGTTATTCTGTAAATTTGCATACCTTGAGATAACACTAAAAATGTATTACACTCGAACAGAATGTTAATGCCAATTAACACTGTCACGATATTGGTACAAATCTATCTCTGTCACTTACATCAAACAGTCGCCCCCAAATCATGACAGAAATGCATGAAGTCACTGACAAGTGAACTGAGTCATGTTGGTAGATGTAGGCTACCTGGTTGGGGTCTGTGATACGATAGTTACCGATGGTTAGACACCTTGAATGACATGGCTAAGAATCGTTTACAATGGCGCAGGTGCATCCACTCTTTGTGTTCTATGAAATTCTAAGCTTCTGAATTCCTCATAATCTCTATCTTTCTAACTCTAAATTTATCTCACTGAATTATACGTTTCGAATCATATCTCTGCTCCCTAATCTTCTCCATTGCTGATAATAATTCTACTATCGCTATCAGTCTTGGATTTGAACTGACAGTTACGTCTCTATGCTGATGTACTTATGTACGAAGTTCTGCGTTGTATCTGTCTGTCATTAGATTATATCTGATTGACTCATTACTATATCAGTTCATAGTTCGGTTAATTTGAAAAAAAGTAAGGAAATACAGCAAACTTTATACTATCATCTTTTCATTGAATTATCAACACGTTTTATATGTGGTCAACAAATTACTCTGTCTTATAGATAAAATCAATTATTTCATGAAAACTCTAGTTTTCGATCATCGATGTCTCCGAAGCATCGCTCGTGTATCATGGGACAACCGAGTAAGCAATGCTGTCGTTAGGAAACGAGTGCGAGGTAAGTATGGCAGATCAATAGATGAAGTATTGAAACTTCATCAGTTGAAGTGTTTGGGACATGTGTTACGTATGCCTAACCACCGACTGCCACGACTGAGTCATCTCGGTAGGTGTCGACTAGCTACCTGGTTGGGGTGCGCCAGACGAAAGTCGCCAATGGTTAGAGACGTTGAACGACATGGCTCAAAATCGTTTGCAATGCTGCAGGTGCACCCATTCTTCGAGCTCTCTCAAATCCTAATCTTCTGGATTCTTCAACACCTCTATATTTGTCTTTCTAACCTTATCTCATTGAATTATACTTCTTGAATAATATCTTCAAACCCTTGTCTTTTTAATTACCATTAATACCTCTACTATCTTTACTATCACTATGGGATTTGATTTAACATTTGCGTCTCTGTGTGCTAATGTGTAGTATGGCAGGAACATGAATTTATGTACTTGCGTACGTACGAAGTTCTAAGTTGCAACTGACTGACTGACTAACTCTAGTTGGAAATGACAAAATTCATTGATTGACAAGTGTTGACATCAAAAATAATAATTATCACAACAACAAATTCACAAATTATGATGTAACAAATATTAAATATATTACATATATATATATATATATATATATATATATATATATATATATATTTACATATGAAAAAAACAAACCTGCATGTTGTACAATGAAAACAATGTGTATGAAATGTTTTGCCCAACACTGTGACCACTTCACCTTCTACATAACTATGACATGTTTCACATCGTACACCAAATTCTAATTGATAATCATTTGGACAATAGAATTTTTTATCTTTTACAAAAAATCCACCTTGTTTTAAATTATGATGACATTCTATTTGAAAAAAAATATCAATAAAATTAACTTACTTGAACATTGAAAACATTTATAATGAACAAATTGTTGTTCAATTTTCAATACATCACCTTTACATCGTTTATGACATACAGTACAATAAACTTTAACTACAAATAAAATAAAACACAAAGATTGAAAGAAATTTTCTAAATAGTTTAATCAATTCAAAAAATAGAATACATTAATTAAATAGTAACTTTATGAAATATAAAACACACCTATTTAAATAATGTGTAAGGGAACAATATTGCTATGGTAACTAAGGTTATATTGTCTGTCATATAAACATTTGGAAATTTTTAAAGTTACATAAATGTGAAAAGTACGATAGTAGTTATAGATTGGAAATGTATTATTATGAGTATTAATATGATTAGTAGTAGTAGTAGTAGTAGTAGTTATTGTAATAGTGGAGTGATGTTTAAGATGAGTTTTTGAAAGTGAGATTCATGTGTGTTTATTGATTTGTACTAGAGGACATTTGTAGATTGCTTGCCTTGGATCATAGGTGTCTCTGAAGCATGGCTCATATATAATGGGACAATCGAGTAAGCAATTTTGTTGTTAGGAAACGCGTACTAGATAGGGATGGCAGATCAATAGATGAAGTATTGAAACTTCATCAGTTGAGGTGGTTGGGACATCTGTTGCGTATAGCTAACCACCAACGGCCTCGACGAGCTATGTTTTGTGGTGTAGGAGTAGATTGAAAAAAAGCTAGTAGTGGCCAGACCAAAACATGGTAGAGATCCATGAAGTCACTGACAAGTGGACTGAGTCATGTTGGTAGATGTAGGCTACCACCTTGTTAGGGTCTGTGAGACGAAAGTCACCGATGGATAGAGACCTTGAATGACATGGCTCAGAATCGTTTTCAATAGCGCAAGTGCACCTACTCTTTGTGTCCGCTTAAATTCTAATCTTCTGTATTCGTCATAATCTCTATCTTTCTCTTTCTAAATTTATCTTACTGAATTATACTTCTCGAATCATATCTTCGAACCCTAATCTTCTCCATTATTGCTAATACTTTTACTATCGCTACCAATATTGAATTTGAACTGACAGTTGCGTCGCTGTGCTAATGGGGTATGGTAACCTGAACTGATGTACGTACGTACGTACGAAGTTCTGTGTTGTATCTATCTCTGGATTTGTAGAACAGTGAATTTCTCCTATGGTAATATGTTGAAACGATTAAAATCTTACAAGATGATCGTATGAAGAAATTTTTACAGTACAGTTGAATAGGAGTTATCATAAAAACTAGTTAATTTCTTGTAATGAAAAAATCATGATCAATAGACTGTTAAAAAATGAAGATCGATAAGGGTTAAAATTTAGTTTACATAATCAAACAAATAGTACTGACATATTCGAACAAATGACATCATGATAAAAATATAACGAAGACCAGATAATTGTAGTTAATCGATTCACTAGTAACTACAAAATTCAATCAATAATGTTGATTATCAAATTTACTTTGAACACTGAACTCTGAAAAATGAAGCGATTTGCTACATAACTACTCAATAGCTAATTTGTCTAGTAGTATACTCCATTTAACTATTTCCGTAGAAAAATATGAATTGATTTATTTATGGTTGTTGTAAACGCGGCTACGTAACTCTTCAGTCCTAACGGCGTCCAATTCAAATATCACAATACGACCCAAAAGGCTTTTCCAAATCTTCTAGAAATCAGAACGTAACACCGTGACAGGAAGATGTTTATTGGGTCGTAAACAGAAGAAGTAGGCAGGGGAAACGGAATTATTGAGTCTTCCAGATAGCGCGTATTTATACACTAAGGTCGAATAAGAAAAAGCATCAACGTCCGTGACATTGACAATTTAGGAAGACCAATAGAAAAGAACATTTGAATGACATTGACCGTCCAGATGACCAATAAGAGATAACATTGAAGTATTTGACCCTGACGGTAAGAACGATCATAATTTCGGCCAATAGAATTCGACCAATAGGATTGCAGTTCTAAAAATAGTATTCTTAGGATATCTGGTGAATATCCTAACAATGGCATAGTTTTATTTACTATCATTTAAACTAAATATTAGAACAGTGGTTCAGTGGATCAACTATTCAACTTTTAACCGTTAGAATTTAGATTTGAATCCCACTTAACCTATGTCTGTTTGAACAACTCTACGTGGTATTAGTCAGTCAGTCAGGCAGTCAACGTCGCCATACCACATCAGCACATAGATATAATTGTCAATGCAAATCCCATAATAGTAGTAAAGGTAGTAAAGGTATTAGAAGTAATTGGAGAGATTAGGATTAGAAGATATTATTCAAGAAGTATGATTCAGTGAGATAAGTATAGAAAGTCAAAACTAGAGGGGTTGAAGAATCCAGAAGATTAAGACTTGAGAGAACACGAAGAATAAATGCACCTGCGCCATTGCGAACGATTTTGAGCCATGTCATTCAGAGTATCTAACCATCGATTATTATCATCTCGCGGACCCCAACCAGAAAGTTGACAATTACCGACATCACTCAGTCCACTTATCAGTGAGTTTATGGATTTGTGCCATGTTTTGATCTCGCCGCCCCTAGCTTTCGTACAACCTACTCCTACACCACAAAACATAGCTCTTCGAGGCAGTCGGTGGTTGGGCATACGTAACACACGTAACAACCACCTCAACTGATCAAGTTTCAGCACTTCATCTATCGATCTGCCATTCTTACCTAGCACCCGTTTCCTAATAACAGCATTGCTCACTCGGGTGTCCCATGATACACGAGCAATGCTTCGAAGACACCTATGATCGAAAACCAGACCAGTAACTTACGAATATTTTGTACTCCGACTGGCCATTTTTGACAGCCAGAAAGTAAGACGGAGCGAACTACTGCGCAGTACACTCGTCCTTTAGTCAGCCAACGGAACGTGGTACTAGTAGCGTTTACGAAAAAAAAATGTATCTCGAAATCGAGTTCACAAATCTGTAATACCTGGTGGATTAGTTACATTATTAGCAAAATAATACCGAGTAGTTTAAGTTTAGCCGACTATTCAGACATTTACAAGTCAAAATTACAACTGAAACAATAAGATCTGCACACAAAATCACACAGTTCTAATGCACTTAATTTTTCGATTGAAGCACCATATTAACTAAGATTAAGTTTGCGCTTTTCGGTATAAATACGGATGAATAAAAATTTTAGACGAATAGACCAAATAGTATTCTAATTCAATCATTACACCCTATGGAAATTGGTGATTTTAAAAACAATTTTTTAGTTACAAATTCAGTAGACAAAGTATTGAAATCACTAGTAACAATTTGATAAACGAGTATAGTATATTTATGTCTACGTTATATTCATGATTATGTTACATTGTTTTGTGATAAACGAAAAAAAAAATAAAACAAGTCTACTAGTTTTACATGAATTAATTATTTATGAAAAATGTTTCAGTTTATACACGTTTGAAATCATTAATCAATCATCATTGTTAGACCACCATTAGAAACCTGGAAGCACTGAAAGACGGCCGTTTCGTCCTAGTATGGGACTCCTCAGCAGTGCGCATCCACGACTCCTGCTCCTCGCAGGATTCGAACCCGGGACCTTTGGCATTGTAGGCGAACGCCTAACCATCGGACCACTGAGCCGGTATCTAACGGTGTTAATGTCTAACTCTGATTGATCTAGGGATTTTGCGCGACCTCACCCATTTGTCTTTGGTAGTTACTGCCTACACCCGACAGGGTTGAACTCCACTGGTCACGTCTTCTCAACTAGAACTCCAAGAATTTCCTCACGAAGCTAGTCACTAGTGAGCACTGTTACGATATATTGGGGCACAGTTTTTTGGAGGTTTGCGTTTTTACACATTTGAAATCATTAATCAATCACCGTTGGATGCCGGCCCAGTGGTCCGATGGTAAGGCGTTCGCCTAAAATGCTAAAGGTCCCGGGTTCGAATCCTGCGAGGAGCAGGAGTCGTGGATGCGCACTGCTGAGGAGTCCCATAGTAGGACGAAACGGCCATCTTTCAGTGCTTCCAGGTTTCTAATGGTGGTCTAACAATGAAGATTGATTAATGATTTCAAATGTGTAAAAACGCAAACCTCCAAAAAACTGTGTTTCAGTTTATTTTTATTTTTTTTCAATTATTTATTCTAAAGTGATTTTTATTCAATGCCAAGACAGAAATCTCTCAAAAATGAATTAATATATGCAGTGATATACATTGATTTTTTTCCAATATAGTGACAACTTTTATTTACTGTATTTTACTGTATTTACTTTTACAGATAAAAAAAAACCCAGTGTCAAAAATCCAATTGATAATGCAACGCTATAAACATGGCAATATTTTAGGTTGAATCTAAAAATTTTACTCTCTCTCTACACTCAAACATGATATTGTTCAAAATTACTGGACAGTCAGTCAGTCAGTCAGTCAGTTGCAATGTAGAACTTCGAACGTATATGTACATAAGCTCAAGTTGCCATACCACATTGCCACACAGAGACGTAAATGTCAAATCAAATCCCATAGTGATAGTAAAGATAGTAGAAGTATTAATGGTAATGAAGAAGAAGACTAGGGTTTGAAGATATTATTCAAGAAGTATAATTCAGTAAGATAAGGTTAGAAGACAAAGGTAGAGGTGTTGACGAATCCAGAAGATTAGGATTAGGGCTTTCTCCACCGTAGATGCTACCTTGACGTGGTGGTCGCGCTCGCCTATCGTCATGACCCAACCAAGCTATATTGGCTGGAACATATGTTCCTGAAGGTTCTACCATGCCAGCCAGAGAGGTCGATTGGAGAATGATGAGACTAAAAGCAGCTACTCAAGTCTGAGGGCGAAGTCGTACTGCTGACTAACTGCAGAGGGGTGTGAGAGCAGTAAGGTGTTTCCTTCGGACAACCAGCATCTGCAGCGATGTTGCCTTCTCACAAGGAAGGAAGGGTTAGAAAACGTCGACCCTAAAAATGTCACACCTCACCCTACCTCACGGATTTCCGTCTCCTTGGGTAAGGGTGCCCATTATAGGCTTTCAAGAGAGAAGCCAACATTCGAAAAGATTCACATAAAAAGGCCGTGCATGAC